AATACCAGTTTGGGAAGATATCATCCACCCCTCTTCCCAAATATCACATCCAGCTATCAGTGGTTTTTAAAATGTTATTTTAACAATTCAAAAACTGAATGGTTGTCAGCCACTTTGGACTTCTGTATTTTGAGGGGAAATCATTGTATAAATACATAAGCAAAAGCATTTTTTCTCCCCCACTATACCTCTCCAGACACACAAACAAACAAGCACACATGCCTGTTGGATACATGGAAGCATCAGAGAAAATATCAGGAACCTCTTGCTTTCTTGCTTTCTTGGTTTGTTGGTTTTTTTAAATGCTTTTCTCTAAGTAGTGCCCCCACTAATGCAGATTTACAGTCCTTAAAAGCACTCTTTGCTACAAGATCAGCAATCACAAGAGAGAAGCAGTAGCCCATCAAGTAGCAGTGAGTCATTAATAAAAGCTGTGAATAAAAATTAAATGCTACTGAGAACATGAGTTCATCAAAAGGTTTCCCTCCATTATTATTATTTATCATAATGCTAATAATATGTACATGATAGCATATCCATAAATTATCTCATATACATATATATATATATATATATATATATATATGAATGAATGATAATTGAGAGAGAGAAGTCACACAATCCTGTGAACTGTATCAGAATAAATGAATAATATTGCTGGCATCTATCTGTCTCAGGAGACAATGGAGGAGTGTACCTTCAGGGTTGAACTCAAACCATTGGAGGCTAACATTGCCTTCTGTGGCTGTAGAAATCGATACAGGAGAGACATGTTTTGTTTCAGCTGGGGAAGATGAAGGCGTCCAGTTGTGCTGCTGCAGATGCTCCATGGCGTTTCTGTGCTCCCAGTGGTCATTCCTCCTCTGGTCACTGCTATGAATACACAACCTGTCTCCAGGCACTGCCGTTGTCTGCAAGGGATTCCCACACAGCAGGGTTGATGCTGCCAGCCTTCATGCCACATTTGCAGACATCTTTGTAAAGCAGAGCTGGTCTGCCAACAGGCCTGGTGCCTGAAGACAGCTCCCCATAGAGCTCTTCCTTGGGGATCCTTCCATCCTCCATTCTGTGTACATGACTAAGCCAGCATAGACGTCACTGAGACAGGAGTGTGAACATGCTGGGAATGTGGGATTGGGAGAGCACACCTTTGATTGAGACTCTGTGCTGCCATGTGCTGCCCAAAATCTTCCTGACTCAGGGTATGTGGAAGGCCTTGAGTTGTAAGTTGTCCACGACTCACTTCCATAAAGCAGCATGCTCAACATGCAAGCCTGGTAGGCCTTCATTTTGGTACTGAACATCAGCACCACGTTCTCCCAAACCTTTTGAAGAGGCAAGCCATTGCCATTGCTAACTTGCCAATACACTTGTCAGTAGTGATGGTGGTGGTAGTTTTAGCTAGGCATGTTTCATGATATATTTGCTCATGTGTGTTCTTTCTGTGTCACGCAGTGTTGGCTCCAATCTTTCAAGAGCTATCAAGACACCTTCAGGATGGGGGCACCATCCGTGAGTCACCACAGCAGGTTGAGGGTTCTCATCAGTAGGTCCCCCTTTGAGGGTGCCTGCACCCTCTCGATGTTCCTGCCCAGCCTACCCTTTCTGACACTGGCCCTGACTCATGTACGTCCATGTGTTCTTCCTTTGTAGCAGGAACTGGGAATCCCAGTGGCCACCACACATCACCGGAGGCTACGGAATGGAGAAGGCCCAGAAGGTTGGCCTGTCAAGGTTCTAGAGAAGGTAGCCTGGTGACAGGCCTTCATGCTCTGCCAACCTTTGCTGGAGCAAGTTGCTCACCTGCAGCTGTCTGTTCATCCAGCCTTTCCTCTTTCCTTGTGGGTTCTGATATTGGACTGGAATAAGGCGACCTGGCTGGGATGTGTCCTTGAACCAGTGTTTCTCGAACTTGGTTCCCCATCTGTTGTTGGACTGCAGCTCCCATCACCCCTGACCACTGGTCCTGCTAGCTAGGGATGATGGGAGTTGTAGTCCAACAGCATCTAGGGACGCAAGTTTGAGAAACACTGCTAGAACCCTTGCCTGCCTGGATGGAGACCTCTGAGTGGGTGGGTGGATGAGTGGCCACCCACTGCCATGTGGCCCCCAGAAAGTTCCCTGTGAGGGAAGGTGGCCTTTGGGCTGAGAAAGGGATCCTTGCCTCTGCTTTATGAGAAGGCTTTAATCCCTCCAGTCAAGTGCCTAAGTAGAAACTCTCTGATCTTTTCTTTATAAACTGCCTTCCTCTAAGCTTTCTCTAAGCATGTCAGTCTTTAATGCCCTCCAATGCTTTATGAATCCTTTTTAAACGATGTGGGCGAGCAATGAAGGCTTAGCTCGGGAAATAATACTTTGCTACCTGCAAAAAGAAGCAGTGGGTACCTGAAGGATATAATGCTCTTCTGGAGTATCTCTTGTCCAAGTCCTCCAAGAAATAAATAGGGGCATATCGGAGTCTCTTATCCTCACAACAACCTTGTGAAGTCAGTTGGGTGTAGAATTAAATGTAGAATTGCACTAATGCCCCAACTAAGCCACAAATGGTTTGGTCATTATTTGAATCCACATCATAGTACAGTGTCCTTAGCTTTCTACCACATTGCTTGTGGCTGCAATTCCCACTTACCTGGGAATAAGTCTCACTGAAGTTAATAGGGCTGAATTAAACTAGGATTGCACACGATGCAGATCTCCTGATGTCGCACTGGAAGCCACCTTCTGCTGAATCTGTCTGGTCTATTTAGCTAAGTGAGGGCTTATCCACACTTATCTTTTGCCCTCTCTTTCTAGACACATGTCCACACTTTAAAACTCCATGTCCAAGTGTTGTCCCCAACCCCTCACCCTGGAGCTTTCCCCATGAAATCCACTTTTTAGCGCTCAGTTGGAGCAAACTTCAGTGCAGGTTTTCCCTTTAGAGTGCAGACCATGCCTGGAAAGTGGAAATTTAAGTGTGGGTAAAAAGCTCTCCAGGTTCCAGACTGCAGACAATTCCCAGTCCTATCAGGAGATGCCAGGAGGTGAGCCTACCACCTTCAGTGTACAAAAGAGACTTGCTACCACTGAGGTACAGCCCTTCCCAGTTACATCAGTGGTCATCTCTCTGCATGAGTTTTCAGAACGCAAGTGGGCAAATGTGGTGTCAAAAGTGGCCCTTCATCAATAAGTTTTGCCATGTTTTCAATCTGCTTAGATCCAGAGCAGTTTCGAACAGCTGCCTCGCTACCACCCCAAACTGTGAAAACAGCACCCTCTGCTGTTTAAGCTCTGCATTTCTCCACTTTGAAATGTCGACCTGCTTTGACTCTTCCTGCAGAGCACATGGCTCCATTGCTACTTGCTAATACATACGGTAAAGGTCAAACAAGAGGGGGGAAATGTGCATGGGAATCTCCTGTATAAGTTTTGGTATTTTGGGGGGTTTTTTAGGATGTGGTGGTGTGCCTGTATGTCAGGCAGGGCTAGGAAGCCTTTGGCCTTTCAGTTGGTGCCTGACCCCCTGCAGCTGGCATGATCAGTGATCAGGGATACTCAAGAGTTGTTGGTGGGAGCTGTAGCTCAGGGGCAGAGCACCAGCTTTGCATGCACAAAAAGGTTCCAGGTGCAAAACTGAGCTAGATGGACCAGGAGCCTCACTTCGAACCATAGAGTTGTAGAGTTGGAAGGAACACAGGTTATCTAGTACGACCCCCTGCAGTGCAGAAACCCTGCCCACAGCAGAAGTGGATTTAGGGGAGCACAACCAGTTCAGTTGCACTGGAGAAAGAGTCTCAGGGGCATCATAGGGAACACTGCAAGTGTGCTTCAGAATGGAACATGAGCAGTAGGGAGTGCCAAATTTTGGCTGAAATTTTAAAACCCAAAGTCCGCCACTATTGGGGGACAATTTGCTGTCTTGCTTTTAACTGGTTTATTGAACCATTTAATTCAGTGATTGCCAAATTCCTGGTAACCAAAGCACATTCTGGTTCTTATTTAAAGCTGGAAAGCTCAGTTGGTAGAGAGTGAGACTCTTAAATCTTAGGGTCATGGGTTCAAGCCCCATGTTGGGCATTGCAGGGGGTTGGACTAGATGACCCTTGGGGCCCCTTCCAATTCTGTGGGGGTGTCTTATCAGACTAGGAGGAGGAATCCTTAAACCAACCAGTTATAAAGCTCTGAAGAAGTGACTTCCTCTGAAACAAGGCATTCCAACATGGGAGGGTTTGCATTGGGCGTGATAGGATATCAGCTCACAGTGACAACTGATTAGCAAGGGGCACAGCTTGATTTGATTAGCCAATTTAGGAACAGTGGAAGTCAGACCATCTAGCTCCCCAGGGAAGGGAAGGGCCCTCCAGATCTTTGTTGGACTACATCTCCCATGCTTCCTGATCATCAGGCATGCAGACTGGAGTTGATGGAGGCTGATGTCCAACAATATGTGGAGGGCTGCAGGTTCCACATCTCTGGTCTGCCCTGACCAACAATGGCTCTCCGCAGTTTCAGGCAGAGAGTTTTCACCTTCCTTTCCTGATCTGTCATCCCTCCCAGATGTCCCCAGCCTGCCACCTGAGACATCTGTGTGAAGCTAATCAGCAGGGGCCAGCCCTGCGACAATCCACTAACCACCAGCGCTTCTCAGGATGCCAGCCCTGGCCCTGTGGCCAGTTTTAGATTTTCTGAACCACTTAGGGCTTGTGCCTTTCCACATAAAACCTTGCAAAGTGCCATGCACGCTGATAGCACTGTATAAATAATAAATATTACTACCATCAATTTTATTGTTAAGCGTACAGCCATGCACTGATGCTGAACTTCCTGAATACCTGAGCATTTGTGCAAGCTGTTTCTGTACCCTCATAACATTGACTACCAGAAATATTTTCCCCCAAAATCTGGCATCCCTGAGTATCCAAATTCTGTGCAATCCCAAACAAATTAGACCAGCAGAAAACAAACAGCTCTTGTCATGAGTTAAACACACACACACCCCTACACACACACACCCCTGAACATAATTTTCCTTCCCTCTTTTATTTCATTTTTTAAAATCCCTCCAATGTCATTTATTTTACCAGATCATCAATATGGGTTTTGTTTTCATTTCGAGTCGCAGTGATCAGTCCCTGTTTTTGTTCACTTTGTGGGGAATTTTGTTCTTGCTATGATTAGTTAACTTTTTTATAAAAAGTTTTATAAACAACAACAACAAATCAAACTGACAGGAAGTTCGCCTCCAGTTCATTTTGATGCTTGGAAGGGCTGGGGCTGGGGGCTGAGGTTGTGGGTTAGGGTTGGAATAGAGGGCGATGCAATCCATTGATTTCGGGGTGTTCTGACTCGGCACGCTGTGACGCAGATGCTCAGGCATCTCCATGGAAGAAAGACACTGAGTAGTTCAGCAAAGGCATGATACCAACCATCCTTGGAACTGGCATCATCTCAGCCATCACATCTCACGGATGGCGCACAGCATGATGCTCCCAGAATTGTTGCTTCCACCACTTCCTTCGCCCTGGGATCCTTTGCCCTCCAGAGATTCCACGGATCCACTCCTGGAGGAGCCGTAGAGGCACTGGAAATGTTCCATGGAGTAAATGCTTCCAGACTCATCGGAGTGAATGCTTTCGGAGGAATTGCTCCTGTAAATGTGGCTGATTGACCTGGAGCTTGCCTTCTTCTGTTTTGAGGGTGAAGCTTTCGATGGCTTAGGCAAGGGTGCCGCAGCGGGTGGGGATCTTGGATGGGATCGCTGCCGGGTCAGTGGCTTGGTTGGTGGCTGGGATGGTGGTGAAGATGGCAGTTGGCATGGTGACTGGGACATTCCCTGGGATGTTGGTGCCTGGCATGGTGGCAGGCATGGCATCCGCTGAGATGATTCCAATGCCTCTGCTGGGGAAGGAGACAGGACAAACTTCGTTTCCATGCAGTGTGTCTGGATAGCAAAAGACTTCACCTCCTTCCTCAGGGTGCTTGAAGAAAAAGAAGATGGGAGAGAGGTACAAGTACAGCAAGGAAACCCGGACAGATTTACTTTGCAGATTTGTTTATTTTAAGCAAGTGTTCTGTTCAAAAACATCTGATATGCATGTACATAAAACAAATAACCAGCCTTTTTTTAAAACAAAAAACCGAACATCTTTTGCATTGTCAGACAAGTTTCATACAGTTCCCCATAATGTATACGGGTCTGCCTTTTTTGTGTACCTCATCACACCAATAAATAACAATTAAAAACTCAATTTCTCTTCACAAACGCCACCCAACTGTCTATCTGCTCTAATTCTCTCCATATTTTGGAAGGACAGTCTCAGAGTTACAGAAGCTGTCTTGGTTTCTTTTTGGATCCTGGAATGCCTCACTTTCCCTTAGGATGTCCCTGTTTTCAAAGGAGAAATGTTGGAGGGTATGAGTTATGCGACCCCTGAGCCAAGGAGATACAGTAAGTAGCTATACAACCTTTAGAAGACAACCCTGTCTTCTAAACCTGTATAGGGAAGTTTTTTGGGGTTTTTTTACTGTTTCATGTTTTATTAAATGTTTCATGATTTATTATTATTATTATTAATAATAATTTTTATTTAAACCCCGTCCTCCCCAGCCAAGGCCGGGCTCAGGGCGGCTTACAAGCAATAATTAAAACAAGTTGAATGATTACAACTTAAAAACAAAATTAAAATACAACATTAAAATAATGAAACATTAAATATTAAAATGTATCCTCATCGCAGGAGGAGAAGGAAAAGAAAAAAGAAAGAGAGGGAGGGAGGGAGGGAATCAAATTGGCTCCAAGCCAAAGGCCAGGCGGAACAACTCTGTCTTACAGGCCCTGCGGAAAGAAATCAGATCCTGCAGGGCCCTGGTCTCATGAGGCAGAGCGTTCCACCAGGCTGGAGCCAGTGTTGAAAAGGCCCTGGCTCTGGTTGAAGCTAATCTAACTTCCTTAGGGCCCGGGACCACTAGGGTGTTGCTATTTATGGACCTTGAGGCTCTCCGTGGGGCATACCGGGAGAGGCGGTCCCGTAGGTACGAGGGTCCTAGGCCGTGAAGGGCTTTAAAGGTCAAAAGCAGCACCTTAAATCTGACCCTGTACTCCACCGGGAGCCAGTGCAGCTGGAAAGCACTGGGTGAATATGCTCCCATGGCAGAGACCCCGTGAGGAGCCTCGCTGCAGCATTCTGCACCCGCTGGAGTTTCTGGGACAGCTTCAAGGGCAGCCCCGCGTAGAGCGAATTACAGTAGTCAATTAATGTCGGCACACCCCAAATACTGATGCCTGGCTACAGCACAGTCAAGAGGGCCTCCTACACTAAGTTATCAGCTATATCATTAATTGTTGCTGCTGCTAAGCTCTAATATACCATGTCAGTCTATCAGTCCATCAAGCTCAGTCTCATCCAATCTGCCTGGCAGGGGCTCTCCAGGATTTTAAACAGAAGTCTCTCCCAGCCCTGTCAAAGATGCCAGGGACTGAAGCTGGGACCTTCTATATCAAGGCTGTCGGCCTCACAAAGCTAATATTCCCAACATCCCTAACGAACTACAGTTCCCATGATTCTTTGGGTGGAAGCCGTCAGATCTAAGTGTATAGTGTGTATGTGACCACAGTTACTTTGAGACACTTCAGTGCAAAAAGTGACAAATAATCATAATATAACCATCTATCTCAGTATTGACTCCACTGACCAAGAATCATGGAATCATAGAATCGTAGAACTGTAGAGTTGTAAGGGACCCTGAGGGTCATCTAGTCCAACCCCCTGAAACGCATCCAACTAAAGCATCCATGACAGTTGGCCATCTAACCTCTGCTTAAAAACCTCCAAGGAAGGAGAGGCCACCACCTTCCAAGGTAGTGCATTGTGCTGTCAAACACCTCTTACTGTCAGTTCCTAATATTAAGTTGGAATCCCTTCAACTCCATTGGTGCGGGTCTTCCTGAAAACAAGCTTGCTGCATCTTCCATGTGACAACTCTTCAGATATTTGAAGATGGGTATCGGACTACTGCTCAATCTTCTCCAGGCTAAACATACCCAGCTCCCTCAACCATTCCCCCAAAGCCTCACTTTCCTTGGTTTCAGACAGATTTTTTCCCCAATCCTCTCTGTAGATATTGGGGATTGAACCTGGGTCCTTCTGAATGCAAAGGACTGAGATTTGGTCCCCTTTCAAACAGCAGTTCTACATGCTGGTGCATGCACAAGTTGGTGTGTGTGTGTGTGTGTTGTGATAGGTGAAACTTACATGTCGTCTGTCATCAGCTTGTAGTGAAGAACAGTGCAGCCAACAATGAGCAAAATCAGGAGCACCAAGAATACACACATCACGGCAATCAGCAGGTCTTGCTTCAGTCTCTGCTTTTCCATGGAGTCTTCTTCCAAATGGTTGTTTAAAGGAGAGGTACTGCATTAGTTCAAATTATCACCTGTATCCTGCCCTGCCCTGTTCCGTCCTCCAAGGCACCCTTGCCATCTAGGAAGAATCTCAACCCATTTTGTATCTTTCCTAAATAAATTTCTTAGTTTGATTTGTTGGGATGTACTCATTTAGGAACAGAGGAAGATGTAGTCATACAGTTAGACCATAGTTCAGGCATAGGCAAACTCGGCCCTCCAGATGTTTTGGAACTACAACTCCCATCATCCCTGACCACTGCTCCTGTTAACTAGGGATGATGGGAGTTGTAGTCCCAAAACATCTGGAGGGCCGAGTTTGCCTATGCCTGCCATAGGTCTATCATGCTCAGCTTTGTCTACGTTGACTAGCAGAAGCTTTCCTGGGTTTCACACTTGGGTTCCTAGTTGTTGATGGACTACAACTCCCATCATCTCTGATCACTGGTCTAGCTAGCTAGGGATGATTGGCGTTGTAGTCCAACAACAGCTAAGGACCCAATTTGATAAACACTGCCTATGTGAAGATGCTGGGGACCTGAACATAGGAAGCTGCCATCTACCAGCTCAGACCATTTGGTCAATTTAGACCAGTATTCTCTTTGGACTATAACATCTCCTTGACTACTGGTCATGTTGGCTGCTGGGGTTGCTGGGAACTGGAGTTCAACAAGATCAGGAGGTCCACTGGCTCCCTAGCCCTGCCCTAGTGGGTCACAGCTAGAGATGGGGCAGAAACTTGATTCAGCTCCCACTTAAAGGCGAACCTACCTAATTCACACTTCCTGTAACAATATGTGACCCAAAACACAGGTGGAATCTAGACACATATAAAAAAACGCTGTTAAAAACACTTTGAAAAAAAGTTTTGAAAAATCAAAACTTCACCATCACCACCTAGTGTCACATTTGTATAATGCACTTTACAAAACACTTAAAATGTTTTATTTGCAGCTGTATAGCTGAGTCCCCAGCCTTTCCCCAAACTGAAATACAGCCAACCTTTTGAAATCTGCGCTCCTCCAAACTTCATGGTGCAATTCTCCAACCAAACATTCCTTACAAAAGTGAAGACAGTGTGCATTTTAAAAACCCATGTACAGTGGAACCTTGGTTTTTGAGCTTTTCGGAAGCCAAATGATTCAGAACCCAAACGCTGAAAATCCGGAAGTGAATGCTTCCATTTTCGAACACACATCAGAAGTCAAACAGCTTCTGAGGTGCGTTTCTCCATTTTCTCCATTGAAATTCCTGACCTCCCATTGTGCCTCAGTTGTTGAACATTTTGGAAGTCAAATGGTCTTCCAGAACAGATTATGTTTGACAACTGAGGTTCCACTGTACAAAATGGCAGTATATTAGCAAAACTGCATGGGGAGAAATATGTGTGTTAGTCAAAATTGCATAGAAAAATGTCAGTATTAGAAGAAAATCACACCAAGATGCTGATGAATTTTCATGAAAATTTCAAAAAGGTGGGGGAAAGATCACAGATTGCCATGACAATATGGAGAACTGAATATAAGGCTGGAAAAATGATGAACTCGAAAACTGACTTGATTTGTGGAAGAAGAAGAGTTTGGATTTGATATCCTGCTTTATCTCTACCCTAAGGAGTCTCAAAGCGGCTAACATTCTCCTTTCCCTTCCTCCCCCACAACAAACACTCTGTGAGGTGAGTGGGGCTGAGAGAAGCGTGACTAGCCCAAGGTCACCCAGCAGCTGCAGGTGGAGGAGCGGGGAAGCAAACCCGGTTCACCAGATTATGGGTGTACCACTCTTAACCACTACACCACACTGGCTCTCTGGAGGCAGGGAAGGGAAGACCTCCCAGGATGAGAGATTGGGAGAAGAAAGGAAAACTCCCAGGTGGCAGCTGGGAGGGTCTACCACTTTCTGTGCACATCAAGGGTTAAGAGCTACCTTTGGGAGAGGATGCAGTGTTTTCTCTTTCTCTTTCTCTATTTCTGTTTTTATTTAGATTAGTTCCTTTTATCCTGTATTATGAAAAACTTTAATGGGGAGGGAGAGAGAAATTGACTTGATTTGTCCACCCCCAGTTGCAGTTCTGAAAAGACCCTTCACTACACTACATTCTGCATTTTAGGAGGGTGGCGAAGTCTTTAAGATCCCCCACCCCTTTAATCACTTTTATCTTTCTGCTGTGCCAATGCATTTTTAAACTGACTCAGCGATTTTGCGCGCCTCTCATCATGTCACTGTTTTAATGATTGAATCAATTTACTGTACTGCCTAATCCCATTATCTGCGTCTATGTTTGCAGTCTGGAAAGGGCCCTCCTGCAGGCTGCAAGGAAGGGGTAGGTGCTTGTCTAAAATAATATAAAATAAAGGTGGCAACTTTACATGGGGTTCCCTTGGCACACCCCACTCCCAAATAGCAAGTTTTCCAATCGCATCCACACCCCTCTAGCTTCAGCAACAGCCATGTTAGGTATCCCCACACCATTCAATGCACCCCAAGTTCCTTTGGCATGGGGAAAGTCAAAACACCTTACCGTATTTTTTGCACCATAACACTCACTTTTTTCCTCCTAGAAAGTAAGGGGAAATGTCTGTGCGTGTTATGGAGGGAATGCCTACGGGTGGCATGCCTACGGATTTTCCTCCTCTAAAAACTACGTGCATGTTATGGTCGGGTGCGTGTTATAGAGCGAAAAATACGGTACTTTTCAGTCAAAAAAGAATAGGTTAGTAGGGTTAGATGCAGAGCCCCTAAGAGGCTCTTACGTGCTAAGAAAGCTCTCCTTTGAGGTGATGGCTGGGGTTCCATTTAGAACTGGCGGGGCTATTAAAATACAGCGGTTATATATATTTTAATAGCTCACCAGTGGTCACTTGCTTCCCTTCTCAATTTAGGGTGCTCCGCATTCCTGACTGAAGCCCTAAGCAAGTTAGGCCCCAAATATCTCAAAAACCATAGAATAGAATCATAGAATCATAGAGTTGGAAGAGACCACAAGGGCCATCGAGTCCAACCCCCTGCCAAGCAGGAAACACCATCAGAGCACTCCTGACATATGGTCGTCAAGCCTCTGCTTAAAGACCTCCAAAGAAGGAGACTCCACCACACTCCTTGGCAGCAAATTCCACTGTCGAACAGCTCTTACTGTCAGGAAGTTCTTCCTAATGTTTAGGTGGAATCTTCTTTCTTGTAGTTTGGATCCATTGCTCCGTGTCCGCTTCTCCGGAGCAGCAGAAAACAACCTTTCTCCCTCCTCTATGTGACATCCTTTTATATATTTGAACATGGCTATCATATCACCCCTTAACCTCCTCTTCTCCAGGCTAAACATGCCCAGCTCTCTTAGCCGTTCCTCATAAGGCATCGTTTCCAGGCCTTTGACCATTTTGGTTGCCCTCCTCTGGACACGTTCCAGTTTGTCAATGTCCTTCTTGAACTGTGGTGCCCAGAACTGGACACACTACTCCAGGTGAGGTCTGACCAGAGCAGAATACAGTGGCACTATTACTTCCCTTGATCTAGATGCTATACTCCTATTGATGCAGCCCAGAATTGCATTGGCTTTTTAGCTGCCGCGTCACACTGTTGGCTCATGTCAAGTTTGTGGTCAACCAAGACTCCTAGATCCTTTTCACATGTACTGCTCTCAAGCCAGGTGTCACCCATCTTGTATTTGTGCCTCTCATTTTTTGCCCAAGTGCAATACTTTACATTTCTCCCTGTTAAAATTCATCTTGTTTGTTTTGGCCCAGTTCTCTAATCTGTCAAGGTCGTTTTGAAGTGTGATCCTGTCCTCTGGGGTGTTAGCCACCCTCCCAATTTAGTGTCATCTGCAAATTTGATCAGGATGCCCTTGAGTCCATCATCCAAGTCGTTGATAAAGATGTTGAATAAGACCGGGCCCAAGACAGAACCCTGTGGCACCCCACTAGTCACTCTTCTCCAGGATGAAGAGGAACCGTTGATGAGCACCCTTTGGGTTCGGTCAGTCAGCCAGTTACAAATCCACTGAGTGGTAGCATAGTCAAGACCACATTTTACCAGCTTCTTTACAAGAATATCATGAGGCACCTTGTCAAATGCCTTGCTGAAATCAAGGTAGGCTACATCCACTGCGTTCCTTCATCTACCAGGCCTGTAATTCTGTCAAAAAATGAGATCAGGTTAGTCTGACATGACTTATTTTTCAGAAATCCATGCTGACTATTGGTGATCACAGCATTCCTTTCTAGGTGCTCACAGACTGTTTGCTTAATGATCTGCTCCAGAATCTTCCCTGGTATTGATGTCAGACTGACTGGGCGGTAATTATTTGGGTCCTCTCTTTCCCCTTTTTGAAATTAGGGACAACATTTGCCCTCCTCCAGTCTGCCGGGACTTCGCCTGTTCTCCAGGAATTCTCAAAGATGACTGCCAGTGGTTCTGAGATCACATCTGCCAGTTCTTTTAATACTCTTGGATGCAGTTCGTCTGGCCCTGGAGACTTGAATACATCTAAACTAGCCAAGTATTCTTCTACTATCTCCTTAGTTATTCTGGGCTGTGTTTCCTTTGCTGAATCATTTGCTCCAAATTCTTCAGGTCGGGCATTGTTTTCTTTATCGGAGAAGACTGAGGCAAAGAAGGCATTGAGGAGTTCAGCTCTTTCTGTGTCCCCTGTTTGCATTTCACCATCTTCTCCTCTGAGTGACCCCACTGTTTCTTTGTTCTTCCTTTTGCTACGGACATACCCATAAAAGCCTTTTTTGTTGCTTTTAACCTCTCTAGCAAGCCTGAGTTCATTCTGTGCTTTAGCTTTTCTGACTTTGTGTCTACACGTGCTGGCTATTTGTTTGAATTCCTCTTTGGTGGTTTCCCCCCTTTTCCATTTTTTGTACACATCCTTTTTTAATCTTAACTCAGTTAAAAGTTCTTTAGATAGCCACCCTCTCTGTGCCTTTAGGTCCTCTTGGATGTTAAGACTGACAAAGCAGGGGTCCTCTTGGTAGTTCCATCACCCTCAGAAGTTTGGGATGGTGGTGTCCTGGAAGTGTAGATCTTCTGTGGCAGTCCCTAGGCTGGTGATTTCCCTCTGACTGTACAGCTTTTGCCAAATACTGAAGATACACCTATTCACCCTGGCCTTTGACAGTTTAAGGTGTCTTGTTGGAGACACCTGAAATTTTGCTGAAATCACACTGTACTGCTCCATTTGGAAAGGTTTGGTGCCTCTTGTCGTTGAAATGTTTTAATCTGCTATTAAATAGTTCTGTGTATTGTATTGTTGTAACCCACTCTGAGCCCTTACGGTGAAAGGCAGGTGAGAAATCTTATAAAGTAAGTAAATAAGTAAGTAGGCAGGCAGGTAGGTAGGTAGGTAAGTAAGTAAGTACGTACATAAGAAAGAAAGAAAGTAAGTAAGTAAGGCATGCATTCATCCCTCACGGGTACCCTACCTTGGCACAAGTGTGGCCCTATAAAGATGAAGAACAATAGGAATGTATGGGGAAAGCTGTGCATTGTTTCTTTAGTCATTGTCTTTCCCCATGCTGGCTGCATATTATTCTGACCTACCATGGAACCACGTGACACCCCCAGCATTCCTAACAACATTCTGACAGCATAATCTATTCCAGTGCTAGGGTGGGGTTATGTGGCCAAGTGGGTGAGTCCATAAGCACTGGTGGAGGAAGAGGAGTGCGGGGGGAGCACATCGCCCCCGGCTGCGCGATCCTGGTGGGGTGCCATCATGGTTGCCCCCCTGCGCTGGGTGCCCCACCCCCACAGATGGCCCGCCCCGGGACGCACGCCAGCCCTGCCCCCACCTGCTCTCCGCCCCGCGGTGCCGGAGCATGAAGCTCCACCACTGTCCATAAGGTCTTCCTGGATCCATCTAAGTCCATCTGGCTTGGCCCAAAGGTTCATCTGGTCTGCTATCCTGCTTTGCAGAAGCTAACCAGATGCCTCCAGGAAGCCCACAAGTCAAGGCTTGAAGGCAAGAGTCCAGTCCTCTCTCATTGCTTACAGCATTGATGGCCAGACTTGGCCCTCCAGCTGTTTTGGGACTACAGTTCCCACCATCCCTGACCACTGGTCCTGTTAGCTAGGGATGATGGGAGTTGTAATCCCAAAACAGCTGGAGGGCCAAGTTTGGCCATCACTGTCTTACAGGAAGGGCCATATAGCAGTGGTATAGTTTATGCATTGCACACAGAATGTCCAAGGGTCAATCCCCAGGATATCCAGGTAGAGAGATAGGGATGTTCCTTACCTGAAACCTTGGAAATCCTTTGCTAATCAGTGTGGGCAGGATTGTGGTGGACAGACCAATGATTTGGCTCAATTTAAGGCAGCTTACAATATGATAATCTTTATTGTCATTGTCCCATGCAGAACAACGAAATTGGAAAATCTACATAAGACATTCAAAACCCAACAAGCCTGCTATCCCAGCTATCCCAACCTGGTTAGCCCCCTAAAAACTCTGATACCCCATTTTTAAATACAATATACTTCCATAGAGACTCCTTGAGAGCCAGTGTGGTGTAGTGGTTAAGAGCAATAGACTTGTAATCTGGTGAACCGGGTTCGCGTCTCCGCTCCTCCACATGCAGCTGCTGGGTGACCTTGGGCTAGTCACACTTCTCTGAAGTCTCTCAGCCCCACTCACCTCACAGAGTGTTTGTTGTGGGGGAGGAAGGGAAAGGACAATGTGAGCCGCTTTGAGACTCCTTCGGGTAGTGATAAAGCAGGATATCAAATCCAAACTCTTCTTCTTACACTGAGTTTAAAACCAAAATTGCATTTGGGTAGAAACTGTTTCTCAGGCAGCTAGTCCTAGTCTTTATAACCCTGTACCTTCTTCCAAAAGGCAGAAGCTGAAAGAGATCATTTCCGGGGTGCGCACTATCCTGCGCTATCTCTGCAGCTTTCTTATGGCACCTGGAAGCATAGATTTGATCCAAGGTGGGAAGAGTGCACCCAATTATTCTCTCCGCAGTCTTTACAACCCTGGACAGCATTGTTTTTCCCCTGACCGTGCAGCTCCCAAACCATACACCCAGACCATAAGTTAATACACTCTCCACAGTACAATGGTAAAATGCCATCAACAGGTCCTTTGAGAGATTGTTTTTCCGGAGGATTTTCAGAAAATATAACCTCTTCTGTGCTCTCTTCATCAGGACTTTGCTGTTTTCTCCCCAGGTTAGATCATCTCTCAACTCCATTCCCAGAAATTAAAACTCTGAGACCTGTTCCGCACACTTCTGCTCAATAATAAGTGGCTGAATATTCAATTTACATTTCCTAAAGTCCACAATAACCTCTTTTGTTTTCTTTAAGTTAAGGAGTAAGTTGTTTTTCCTGCACCACTCCCCCAACTGCTCAACTTCCTTCCTCCCCCTCTCCAGCTGTGATTAAACCAACCACCTTTGTATCGTCTGCAAACTTAATGATCTTATTACTGGGGCATTTGGGGGCACAGCCAGCTGTATAGAACATATATAAAAGTGGGCTCAGCACGCACCCCTGCAGCGTCCCCGTATTCATTATGAGATCCGCAGAGATGTGGGAACCCAACCTGCCCCACTGGGAATGGTTTGATAGAAAATCTAATATCCACCTGTACAAACACAGTGGAAGTCCCAGGTCTAATAATTTGGGCACCAATCTATGTGGAAGAATAGTATTAAATGCAGAACTAAAGTCTACAAATAACAGTCTTGCATAGTCTCCTTGCTTCTCCAAATGAGTCAGGACAGCATGTAAAGCCACTGCCACAGCATCCTCCGTGGATCTCTTTGCCTTGTACACAAACTGGTAAGGCTGAAGTCCCACTGGAAGACAAGATATGATGCGGTTCCTCACCAGTTTTTCGAAACATTTCATTATAATGGGTGTCAATGCCACAGGGCGAAAATCATTCAGACTGTCTATCTTTGATTTTTTTGGCAGGGGTATAATGGTAGTGGATTTCAGGCAGGGTGGAACAGTGGCTTGGGCCAGAGACTGGTTAAAAATCTTCATAAAGATTCCTGCCAGTTGGTCCGAACAATCTCTTAGCACCCTGCCGGCTACCCCATCTAGGCCCATAGCCTTCCTCGTGTTTACCTCCTTTAATATTCACCTCACTTCTCCCTCTTCCACCCTGGCAGCATTTCCTGTAGGTAGTGACGCCAATAGCTCTGGCATCCCAGTTGGAGTCACTGTTGGTGTCACCTCAAATCGGGCAAAGAAGGTATTCAACTCTCCCACCAAGGAAGCAGCACTCTCCACCACTGATGAATTCCTTGATTTATAACCAGTCAGATGTTGGACTCCCTGCCACATTTGTCTAGTATCATGATTTCTCAGACGGTCCTCAATTTTTCCTCTGTACTCCGCTGTGGCTTTCCTGATACCCCTCTTCAAGTTCGCTCTTTCTATACCATGCAATACCCAGTCCCCAGTTCTAAAAGCAGAATTTCTGGCCTTCAATAATCTCCTAACCTCTCCCGTAATCCAGGGCTTCCTATTCGGATACAACTTAACATACTTTTCCCTGGTGACATTTGCTGTGCAGAATCTAATATAATCTTGTATGCATTGCGTCACCAAACATTTAGCCATCACAGCTGATAGGCACTGAAGGCTCTCATCTGCTCTTTCTCAGATTTCTCAAATCCCTTTTAAAATAAAAATCACCATAGCTAGTGACCATCACCATGGATGTCTGTTGTTGGGTTGGAGCTGAAATGCATTGTATGTGGGGCTGCCATTCAAGACTGTTCAGTAACTGTGGTTAGTACAGAAGATGGGATCAGTCCATTCCAGGCCAAATTCAAGTTATAACCTTCAAAGCTTAGTATATATTATTAACACTGGCCAAGTTACATGAATACTGTAACTTGTAAATTCAACTTTATGAGTTTGGCAAAAAATAAAATAAAATAAAATAAAAAATAAAATAAGAAGGGGTGTGTGGAGGAAACTCAGAGGACATCTGGGAAAAACTCCCTCCCACCATTGCACCCAATGTGTTTTGATTATATGCCATTTTGGCTTTAGGCGCAATCCCTGGAACATAGCTTCCGCATAATTTGCAGCCTTGCTGTACGATAAACACTTCAGGTGCTGAAAATAGTAAGTCACAAATATTATTCTCCTGTATAGGAATGCCAGCAGCACACAATTTCTGGAGGTAAATAATATTCATGGTATCAGAAAATACAGGGGAAAGAGTGGGATTTAAGCCCATGTTTCATGTTTAACTGGATCAAAACTGGTATACCAAGTGGTATGAAATCTTTAATAGCAAGTTTAGTGAATCTCAGCAAACTGGCATGTGATTATGGAAAACTCACAACCTGTGGCCACTTGGGAACGACTGTGGAAGTGCGTATATCTCACAGAGGTGGAGAGACTAACAGATCTGGTACTCAGGAGAAATGGTAACATCCATAATAATATATTCATCGATAAGTGGGTGTGTTTGGAAATTACTGCAATCAGCACTATAGACATTTGCAGCTCTCTTGGAATATATTTATGCAACCTGTCAATATTTCTTGCTTTAAAAACCTGTATATGTGGTGTTTTTTAAAGTATACCTTCATGTTTCCTTCGTCCGCTTGTTAAGGAAAATCCAAATGGTTTATTTCTCAATTCTCCTCTGTGCGATGACATAATGTCTCTTTAAGCTCACATAATGAATCCATCCACATGCCACATTAAACCAGGGGTAACCAATGCTGTGCCAGATGTTGCTGGACTCCAACTCCCATCAACCCACAACATCTAGAGGGCTCCATGCTGAGCACCCTTGATTTAAAGCATAGTTAACTATAAACTATGGTTTGCACGTAAACACGCAACATGTTGGGTGTGCAAACTCCTAAAATTATGGGCACATTGCTTCCCTTAAACCACCCCCATCTTTGTGCCGTGGTGCTGGGAGCTACACCACAGTTTGGCTTTTCCAAACCCATGTTTGTTGAAAGTGATGTGTGAACCACGCCGTTGAAATGTACAAAAACTAATTAAAATCGGCTACTAATTGAAATGGCTGCTCACCCTGATGGCTATGCTCTTCCTCTGCTTTCAGAGGTCTTATGTTTGTGATTCTGGCTGGGAATCACAAGTGGGGAGAGTGTGGTTGCCTTCAGGTCCTATTTGAGGCTTCCTACCAGAACATCTGGTCGGCCACTGTGAGAACAGGATGCTGGACTAGATGGACCACTGATCTGATCCAGCATGGCTCTTCTTATGTTCTCATGGCTCAGGACTGTGACCTCAGAAGGGTCACTTCCTTCCCATATGTACCCTAGAACTGATATCGTGAATGGAGGCCCACTTCTTAGGCCCTCACAGTGGTCAAGGGTGGATGGAGGACAGAAGAATTTGAAAGACCACAGGTTTGCCACCCTTGCTTGATCATCTCCCCACTCCCTATAGGGAAGGTAGACCAACACCCTGATCCTTTATGGGGGAGGGATGCGGGTGGTGCTGTGGGTTAAACCACAGAGCCTAGGACTTGCCGATCAGAAGGCCGGCGGTTCGAATCCCCGTG